ATCAAAACAATTAAAAATGTTGAAATCTTACCTTTTGTGTCCGGTTTCATCCTTCATGTTGTACAAATCCCAATAATGAATCGTTCTTTCAGCATCCGAAATCTGTCGTCGATATCCGCGATTCTGTTGGGTACACCTCACTTCAGTCACGATGCGTTGGCAAAAATTCACTGTCACAAATGATGAAAAACCTCTCCAAGAATGCCAAGTTGCCTCACACATACACAAATCACTGCCTTCGCGCAACAGCCGTCATTCTGCTATCCCATGCCGGAATCGAGTTGAAAGTTTAAGATCATACTGCACCGAATCCAGCAGTGTACAGATGGGGTCGTACGCGGCCATTTTGTAGGGGTCTGATCGCCAACGCGCCGATTCTCGTGCCGTTGCCAGTTTCATCATCTTGGCCCTTTTCACACTTGCAAAGTTCTTCAATTGTATCCGTGATGGGAATGTTTCAGAGCATACACAATTCTACCATAAATGTCAGCTTCGTTAATCGACAGTAGGCCTAACTTTACCCGATCAAATCCTTGTGGTCATTCTTGATTGGACCAGTCTACGTAAATTTACATGAGGTGGAGAAGGTAGCATAAAATGGAATTCTTTCATTGTCATTGCAATTCCAGTGGTATTGCAGTAATTGAGATTGTAATGTTACTCATCAAGTTTAATTTTAAACATGACTGAATACATTTTGTTTTGTGTATTGTATTGACAGTTATTCATTTCGAACATGACGTAACCTATCTCCCCCAGTAGTATATATAATGGGGGTATAAGATCAAGTCCAACAAAAGCCTCTGCAAAGCCTCATTTCACAAATAAAGCTTTTGTCAGGCCCTTAGATCCCGCCCCAGTATATCTACTACTTTTGAGCCCCCAGTTAATTTCCCGCCCACACGTGGCACTACTGTACCGCACGTGACACTATGCCACGTTGGCCTCGATGAAACAGTTTAATGTGAATCGCCTATGATCTCTTTGGTGTTCGTAATAAAGCCTTGCCGGGCTTTTTTCACCCCTTGTTCTATGTACTTTTTTTTTTCTCGTCTTCACTGATAGCAGTACTTTTACGAGATTTGGACCGAATCTCTTGTTTCATTTTGTTATATTTTGTGAGTTCAGAGAGGATCAAACGAAACTCCTCCTCTGAGATCTTATTGTCAGTGAGTGCGGTAGAAATATGATCGCTTATGGTGTTCAGCTTTGCTTCAGCTAGAAACCTGATCTCATCGTGCTTCAACGCTTTATGATGCAGTCTGCGGGATACAAACTTACCCACCTACCCTGCCAACCCTGCCACCCCAGCTGTTATTTCGATGCCCAGCACTACGGGTGCAGCTATGATGGAGGTCAACAACCCCACACCTACTGCTCCTAACCCCATGCTGGTTGCCATAAGGGTAGTATCAGCCCCGTCCACGACACTGAAAGCCCTGTAGTACTTCTTGTACAATGCCTGTCTATCGCGGTCTTGTTCTAGTTGGTGTTTTATGTCACATAATTGTCTCAAGCGGAACCCGTCTACAGTTTCCAGTGTCTTCACTACTTCCTCTACAACTGGGTACAGCCCCATTCTGTGCGCCTATAATATGTCTTATGAGATACTTTTTAATTGTGTGTTATTTAATTCTTGCACAGTGTATTTGAGGCTTGTAAGGTTTAGATGACTGGTTATGTAAATAGGTGAGAGGCCAATAACCTGACGGTGTGTTCACACGAACCAACTCGGGGTTTACTAAGATACGTGCAGAACCCGCTGGGTTTATATATATGACGATACGGCAACGTTGGTTATATAGGGGGTCCTTCCAACCTATTTGCACCCCCTCTAAAACGGATACCATAAGCCCCCCAGTATCTAGCCCGAGATAGCCTTCTATGGCGAGTAGGGAGCCTGGTTTCATATTCATGAAACCCGATTGGAAACCGGGTATGCCAAAGTATAACTCCCCAGACCCACTTATCATGTTACCCGTGTTACCCGGTATTAGCTCGAAACCTATATTGAACGTCGTAGTGAATGCCCCGAGCAAGATACCGCTGTTCCTAATTTCGGAGATAAACCCATCTTTGTTTATCGAGATATAAGGTGCGGTGAGGGTCATGTTGATCATCCATTCGGGTTCTTTATAGGCTGATAGGGGCACCGGACTATACGCGTGGTTTTTCCAGTGTAGGATGTGGAAGGTGTCGTCCTGACCAGGAGAATCGAACCCCCTTGTGTCTCCTAGGTCCCCGAGGGTGATTTTGGGTAGATGATCGGCCCTGCCGCCCGCCTATACACGTTGTCTTTCAAGTGTAGGACGTATGAGCCAACTTTCTCACCAGGCTGATCGAATCCCTCCGTGCCTCCTAGGTCCCCGAGTGTGGGTTTCGGTAGATGATCGGCCATTGCCGCCCGCCTATACACGTTGTCTTTCAAGTGTGGGACGTATGAGCCACCTTCCTCACAAGGCTGATCGAATCCCTCCTTGTCCCCTAGGTCACGGAGGTCGTTAAGTGTAGCGTTGGGGTGATGACTGGTCATTGCTATAATACTATTATGATATAGTTTCCAACTGGTTTTCTGATAATTTCTCAGGGGTGCATTTGACCCCCATGGAGTGTATGTTGTCGGGTAGGAAGATCTTGGTTAGTGATATCGTGTCTTCCACGATCACGGTGACTCCCTGCAGACTGGTTTTGGAGTCGGCACCCACCCGCACGTAAACAGTGCAAACTCGGCCCACCCGAGTTTGACCCCCTTCACGATTTCGACTTCACCCTGCGATGGTTCCCCTAGGTAGACTTTGATGATCAGAGTGGCGTTCTCCGGTAGGCTCGCCAGGACGTTGACCACGCCAGCAAATTCAGACACCAACTGCAATGTCACGTCTTGCACTCCCGGTTTACTCGATAGCATGTGGGCTGCCATACTGGCGACTGGGTTGATGACTACGCCACTTCTGAGCCGGACGTAAGCCACGAGCAGGGTTCCGTTGTTCACGACTTTGTTTAGGTAGTTGTCTTTGTTATCCGTGAACACTTAGGGGGAGCCGAGCTTAATATTGAGAAACCAGTCGCCTTTAGCGGGTAACAACACCCACCTGTCATCTTCGTTGAAGACGAGCGTATATGGTTTGTTTCCGGCGACGGTAGTGCTCTCAACATCTTCTAAGTCGAACAGTTTGCCCCCGAATGGGTATATTATCCATTTATCATCACCGGTGTTGACTAGGTTGTACAGAGTGTTGACGACCGCTCTTGAGGTATTTTCTATATCACCTAGGGCTCCACCGGAAGGGACTTCAATGTGTTTGTAAATGTTGTTTTTCAGTTGCAAGGCGTACAATTTACCATCTACTCCGGGGTCGTCGAGTCCGTGTACCTTCATTCCGGGGCCTTGTGCGCTGGTCATTTTATGTGCAGCGTTATGCTGAGGTATCCTATATTCACGGGATTATGATTTATATCTAACACCGATAATATCAGCTCAGGGATGTTGCCCTGGGTTAACCTCTTATACTGTCGCTGTGAAAATGACTCGGTTCTATCGTCGTTGTATTTCTCCTTTTTCACCGGCACTGCTCTCAGTATCGTGGAAGGTTGGCCCCCTTGAATGTTGTCCATTGTGCTCACCTGGCCGAGATGAATGCACAGCTCTCGGTACGGTACTATGTTGGGTAACTTCGTGCCTGTGACGGTAGTTGTTGGTTTTATCTCGTCAGGTGACATACCGAGTGTCCTCGCCAATGGCCGACTGAGCCTCAAGGAGTTTCTTCCGTTATTGATTAACACCACTGTGCCGTTTGAGTCGTTCATCTTGAATTCGGCTCCCAGGGGCTTGAAGACCTCGTCACTTAGCAAGCACACGCTGTAGTAGCCATCAGTTATCTGGCTGCGAGCTCCACTGATGAACAGCTTATTGTTGCTGGTGTTGATGTTAGTCCATCGCGGTAGGTAGGTGATATCGCACAGCGTGGCTTCGAGTTGACCCGACGTGTTATCGATCGCGTGCGTCAGGCAGTCCACGCTTGGTTCAACAACCCGTTGCAGTTCTGGCAGAATCAAATCAACTTCGTCGTGTGGTGCGCTACAACGGGGTGTGGTGTGGCATTAACTGACACTCGGCGTGGACCGAGGAGTCAGTCTGTGTTCATGTTTCACGTGTACTACCAGGTCAGACGTATCCTCAAAGAGATCAGCGCCCCGCTCCCACAGGACAAGGCGGGGGGCGCAGTAAACAACCAGTACGACAGACAGGCCTACTTAACGTATTGGCAATCTAATTCAACTAAGCCCAAAGACGATTGGCGCTTTGCCGGCCGAACCACGGGTTGGGTATTCCATATAATTGGGGGCGACCGATGATTTACTGTAACGAGATGTACTACGACAGGACTTTGCTTTGTCGAGTAATGAATGGCGAGATGACCGTATGAACTTTAAAGGTGGTGTTGCTTTCACTGTCCAGAAAGTGGAGCAGTCAACCGCAGATGGTTGGAAAATGTTCATGCTGGACACGTCGAAAGGGTTTACTCGTGTCGGTGACGCAAGATTGAACGACTCGATTCGAACGTACGTGTGGGCGTTGTTGGTCGTGCAGACGCAAATGCGTTCCAACATCCTCGGTAAGGGGACTGCTTACGATGATCAGAAACAATTCGTTGTTAACGTTGAGGATGCTATCAATGCTCCAGTTGATCTCCCGAGTGCCATCAAACGCTACCAAGACGTGTTGGAATACGTGGGACTGTACATGGCTCCGAGCGATATGCAACTGAGAATAAAAAGGTGGTGGGCTACAACAACGAAATAGTCATAGCCACGGCGGGCCAAAAGTTGGGCGTCAACCCCGATGTTAACACCCCCCTCGTCCCACCACCGACGACCGATGAAATGGGTGGCGCCACCTCCGGAGTCCAGGGCTCAACCAACACCCCCCCAGCCCCAACATCAGGCGCCCAATCAGCAGCACATCGATTGTAAAACAGCACTGGTGGTTGGTGGGGCAGCGGTCGGGTTGGAGCTCATTTGGTTAAAAATTCCTTGGCCGCTATGTACACCAGACCCGCCCGGCGACAATGGCTGCCCACAGGTTTTGACTAGCGCTCAGCAGCCACGAGACGATGCTACCCAGGATGCCGGGCAGGGCTTCGGCAGCCTTACCAGCCAGTTTAGCCATGGCCTCCCCTAGTTTTTTTATCCAGTCTTTGACGCCCCCACCACTTGGCGGTGTTGGGGGTGTGGGGGTACCTCACTCAATGACACCACCAGGGTTAATATGATGAAGCCCAATGCAGTCAGAATGCTGGAGATGGTAATCCCTTGCTCTTGGCAGAGGATTCGGATCATGTCAGCTAGCGGGGTGTCCTCATTTAGGACTCGATCGATGGTTTCCCATACTCGACTGATCTCTGATCGGAGGGCTTCCCGGTTAGAGGAAGCGGATTCCAACCGAGTCCGTCTCGTCTTCCAAGTTTTTTATTCTCTCCTCGATACGACGTTTCATATCATTGTCCTCCCGATTCGGGCGAAGTTTTATTTTCTTCGCTGAATGTATGTAACCGCCGACTTCGTTCACGAAGTTCTCCGCTGCATTACGTTTGTTGTTTCGTTTAGGCCTCGCAGTTCCCTCAGGGTAAATGTGAGACCCGGCAAGGGGTGGGCATGGTACGTGGCCAATATTTTGTCTAGACTGTCCGACATTTCTTTAACACTTTGGGGTATGTCCCCGGTATTACTGAGTTTGGGCCTGGGTGCTTGCAGATCTTGGACAACCTTCGGGGGAAGCTTTGGCCGCGTGCCACCGTAATCTATGAAGCCTCATTCATCACGGATCAGTTGACTCCCACCAGGGCGACTGGTGAGTGTTGACAAAGCATAAGGCTTCCCGACTTTTTTCATGATATCGACCCCCGGGTGAGCCCTCAGTCACAGCGTGCCCTTCTTATCGATGGTAAACTTGGCATAGTCCCGCCCCAACGGCTTGATATTGTCTCTATTTTCAACTGTGTCATAATAATCATCGACTGTACAAGTTCAGTACTTAAGGGGAACGAGGTTTCATCCTCCCCGAAATTATCCAACATATCATCCATAGGGATGTACTCATGACCGCCTTCAGCCATTATTTAATATTAAAACTTATCTATTTCATTTATATGTATGGTAGGAAGCTAGATCTGTTTCGAAGATCAAGAGAGCCTCTAGGCATCAGAGCCGTGCGCCAGTCGGTGACCATCACCAACAATCCCAGCAAGATAGACCAGAACCAAACGCTGCTGGTTAGATTCCCAAACCTTGGCGAGAATGACCTCATTGTACCAGGCACGGTTCGACTGACGTTCAACCTCACGCTGACCTCTGATAACGACAAACGCGGGCTAGTGCGGAACGTAGGTCGAGCCATCATCAAGAAAACCACCATCAAGATCAGCGGTAACGAGGTGCTGAGCATCGACGACAGCGACGTTTTTCACAGCTACGGGGGATCTCTGGAAAAGCGAGGGAGAACGCGTCAATGACGTGTATCAAGGTATCAGCAAATCGACCTGGTTGCGCATGGGGTATGGCTTCACGCAAGACCAGCTAGACAAGATATCGGACGGTGAAAAGGCGATCGCCCAAGTGTACGGGAACAGGTTCTGCGTGCCACTCGACTTCGGGCTGCTCACGGGACACGCGCCGTTTTACCAGGCCGCGCTGGGTGATAGGCTTGAATACGAGCTCACGTTTAACGACTACAGCAAAGTAGTGCGTACGCCAAACGGTGATGAGGCCAGTTACACCGTAGACAACATCTCTCTGGAATTTGACATGGTCACTAGCCGGGAGCTGGCAAGGCAGGTTCGAAGCCAGTACTCTGGGAAGGTGGCCATCCTGTATGATAGGGTTCTGCGGCATAAATCAGTCGTGCGGGATAAGAGCGACACTGTGTGGAATATCAACCTGAACGTGCCGGCGCGATCGATGAAAGGTATCCTGGTTGTCCCAGTGAAGAATTACGAGCCGTTCCAATGGGACAGCGAGAGAAGTTTTTCAACCCTGAGATTGAAAAGGTGGAAGTGACCATCGAGGGCGTGCCCAACCAGCTGTTCAGTGATGGTATGAGGGCATACCAGCAGTGGGATGAGATAAAAAAGCTACTGGCTATCAAACAACACCCATACATAACCAAAGACCAGGACCTATCCTCAATGCAGATCGGTGAATACTTGACCACCAAGTACACGCTGTGGTTGGACATGCGATCCACGGATGACGATAAACTGTACGGTAGCGGTCGCCGCATCGACAACGGCAGCGAGGGGATAACAATCCAGATTACCAAGAAGGCTCAACCCGTGGGCAAGTTGAAATTATATCTGTACGTGATTATGGACGCGCAACTTAATATAGACAATGATTCGTGCAGGCCATCTACTGTTTTGCGGCATTGCGGCATTGATTTGCCCAGCGACCCACACTGCGCCATAGTGTGCGGGCAGACGGGCTGTGGGAAGACCGTTTTCGTGCTGGATATGTTGGAGGGGTACTATAGGGATGTGTTCGACAACATCGTTATCATGTGCCCTCCTCTGCAAATGAATAGAATGTACACAGAAAGACCTTGGGTGATGACGGACACGGACGCACACAAAGTCGACCCGGGGACACGTCTGCAGGACTGGTTGAAAGCTTATCACATCAAATTTAAAGGGGAATCGACACTGTTCATACTGGACGACTGCAGCGCTAATCGCGAGATAACAAAAAAGAGAGACATGCTATCGTACCTGGCCTTCTCTGGCCGGCACGCAAATCACAGCGTCTGAGTGCTAACGCAGAAGTTCAACTCGGTGTTGAAAGACCTCAGGGAGCAGACGCGATGGGTGGCCTTATTCCACTGCAAGAACAGGGATTCGTTCGAGGAGTGTTTGAGAGAGAACGATGTGATGAGCAAATTAGAACGGGAACTGGTGAAGAAACAGCTCGCTAAGCTAGTGCTCAAGACCGACCAACCCGTGGCCTAAAGGGTGTTTTAGTTAAGCAAAGCTTAGCAATGCTTAGCAAAAGCTTAGCAATGCTTAGCAAATGCTTAGCGTTTAGCACTTATCAGTTATAGTTATAGTTATGGTTGTTTTGGAAGTGTTCGTCGTGTGCAACTTAACCTTCGTTTCTCTGTGTTTCGCCTACACCGTATATTGTTAAAACTAAAACTTGCTTGTTACATAACTAAATGGAGTGTGATGAACTGCTCGAACAACTGTTGGTGCCAGGGGACGATGATAAGCGAGGGGACGATAATAAGCGAGAGAGACTGGTGGCGTTGGCTGTTGGTGGCAAAGCCAAACATTACTTTGGGGACTACACTCCTGATTCACAAAATGTCAGCCGAAGAAATCGATAAGCTGTACGTGAGATACGAGGCTAGACTCGGGGCCGAGATGACAAAGACTATAGGATCGGCTATTACCCAGATATACACTGGTATTGTGTCATACTTCCTTCCCATCCCCCCCGGAGCGCCGACTTTACCTGTGGGAGGCCCTTGAGAAATACCCTTTTATTGAACATGCCTTGAGCTCTATCAGCTGCGTGCTGTACCACAAATACGGTATGTTTTTAGCCCCGGTGACGGCGGTGATTATCATGGCAAAGCATTGCCAATTTAAGGAGGGGAAATATAATATTAATAGTATAGATGGATACTGCACAGGAGGAACCCCAAACCCCCAGGGAGGAGACCCCCACGTTGGGGAAACCCCAACTGGAGGTGAACCCTCCCGAGGTGAACCCTCCTACAGTCACCAGGCAGAAGAATCCTAAGAGAGTAGCTGCCGGTAAAAACCCTCCCCAGGAGAAACCCCCGCAATTAGAGGTCAACCCACATATCATGTTATAAAATATGTATTTTTATATCATATACTTAATGTCTGAGGGGAAAACGTTCGTCAACGACGCATACCACGCCACCGTGGTCGCCAGTCTAGCTGTACGGTACGCTCGGTTGACCAAAATGGTGCTTAAACAACCGACTATCAAACTAGATTTCAACCTGCAGGATATGGGTATGCTCATAATGAACCTTGGTATGGCGATGGCCACTAAGGACATCCTAGTAAAACAAGGGATACTAGCGGAAAATATTATGAAGTAAATGTACAAATATATATAGGATGGCTACGATCGCCATGAGTAATTTCCTCTACTCAAAACTACGAGAGTCACACGCGGCTGAGATACAGGCAGAGAGGAAGCGGCACGACCTTGCTGTGGAACGATTACAAGCGGCGCAATCCGAGTACGCGAAAAAATGTGTTCAGAGGATCGATAACATTAACGAACATCTCAGGCGTGAGAGCCATGCCGTTAAAACATTCCACGATGTCGACGACGCAGGGAGAGAATGCTACCTACTAACAGGTGAACAGCTAAAACAACTCCCTCCTAAGCCCACACTCGCTCAGTACTACACACCATCCAAGGGGCAAATGGACCGGGAACTGGTCTTTATCACGCTGGGTATATCAGCGACTGCGTTGGTTGCAAAACAATTAGGCTAAGTACTCATATAAGTATGCCAAAGATGAGACATGCTCCGTACCAATGCGAATACATACTTATGGGGAAGAAAGAAGCCTGTGGTAGGAGATGCAGGACTGAGGGGTACTGTTGTTTCCACATGGGAAGCCCTAACTACATGTGTTCTGTGTGTGGTATCGGGGTGAAAGGGCACTACTGCCTATGCAAAGTTCACGGGGCAAACGTAGTCAGACATCATCTCATCTATGAGAATAAAAAGGCCTACATAAAAGAACGTAGGCGCCTTCTTAGGATAAGTCCCCAATTAGAGGATGTGGACACCTAGGTATAACTATGTTTGTGGAAATTGAGCCCAGGGAAAGTTGCCTGAGAAGCTGGCAGATGGATGTGGGGAAAAGTATAGATATCCGAGTCCTCAAACCCATGATTGTTAGTGAACTATATAAGGGGTGCTCGTTTACAATCATGGTGAAAGTAGGGTTTGATGTG